GAAACGTTTTCCGATTTTCCATGCTTTCATCACAGCACGTGTCAATTGGATTGAGAGTCGCAATTAATAATTTTTTTTAAGTTTAGTTTAGCACGTTTTTGTATTATATTTTTTTTTGCTAAATTTAAAAATACAAGGCTAACTCCCATTGGCTTGAGTCCATGCAGACAGCTATCAATTGGTACATAGCTGACCGTAGTTTGAAAAAGCAAAGCTCACAGTCGGACGGAATAACCTTTCCATGTTTTAATTTTGGTGCCAATCCCAAAAGGATTGGCACTGATACAGAAACCACTAAGCTAAGTTTCTCACTCTCTGAAATAATCGAGCTGAATCGGAATTACGGGCACAGGGAGCATGGCAGATCATCGCCACCTGACACATTAATGTTCGGCATGTGTTAAACAAGCACGGATCGACGCACACAAAAAAGAAAAAAAAATATTATGAGTTAGCAAACGAAAGTGCCGCCGTTTGTAATATTCCGAGCCATAACCTGCAGTGAAAAATATTTTTGATTTAACAAGTTTGCTATGCTCGAATAATTTAATTGAATAAGTTATAATAGTTAATTACCGAGCGGCCAACCTGGCGACTATGAAGTTGCATATTTTTTTTGTTTTGGTTTCGATAATATTCCCTTTTATTATTTTTTATAGTTTTTTTTTTGCGTTGGGTATAATGTGCTAAAGCGAAAAGTTGCCGATTTAACAATAAGTGAAAAGCAAAGTGATTTTTGTCGGCAAATGAAAATTTTAAAACTTTAATTCATCCAAAACAAAAATAAACCCTGCCTTTAAACATATTTATAAATACCACTTGTATGGACACTGCCGAAAGTACTTTCGTCGCTGGGTCTGCTAAATGGTATGCTGGAGCACCCCATTATAATTTACAATTGTTCTGTTTACCCAGGGTATTACTTGGCCAGTTCACGAGGCGAAATAAGTTTTTTTTTTTAACAGCCAAATGAGCATGCGAGCGACAATTTTAAATAGTTGTTGTTGTTTTATCGTATTGTTGTGCCAAAGTGTGAACCGAGCTTATGTGAAACCTGAGTAAACAACGGTAAAAAAAAAAAAAATTGATAACAAATTGGCGGGCGCTTGATCAGTCGCATGCAATGCATATCAGATGTGCACCGTACAGTAGTGGCACTAAATATTAAGCACACCTCCGGTAAATTTATTAAACAGCTAAAATGGCCTTTAGCTGCATAATATAATCTGCATGGCTTAATCCTACTTTTATTATAACGATACATTTGTGTCTTTGACATATTTGCATATTTAAAATATACATATTAACCCTTACTGTTTTCAGCAACTTTTCCCTTCGGTATAGTAATAAAATAAATCAACTAGTTTTTGGCCTCGAGTAATCAAAAGATATGTACAATTTGGTTAGAGGTAGGGAAGCAACTATAATATAATAAATGATCATTGCTTCTAATTTAAAGTAAAATTAACTCATTTATATGTTGTAATAGTTTTTGGAATGTTAAGGAATAACCTAAACCTAAATGAAAGATCTAATTGACATAAATAAAGAAGTTACCACGAATTCTAACTAAGGCCCTTTCCCATTTCGGGATTTATGAAAATCAGACTTGAGTCAATGTAAACAATATCAAGGGTGTACAAGGGATCGTCTCAAACATGTCTTGGCCCTTGGACGATCATGGTAGGGTGGGCATACGCGTCTTGCAATTTCCATCTCTGGGGTGGCTATCGTACACTATACATTCATAAATAAGTGCAGACCTACTTTTCTTTTTCTTCTCTTTTCTTTGTTTATGATGTTCCAACAGATTGATAGGCGACCTCTTCTCCCAAAACAACACGCGAAATTTTAATAATAAATAATTTGCAAAAGAGCATTTAACATCTCGGAACTTTTTTCTGAACCCCCCATCGCCGACGAGATAGAGCCGGAAAACTAACGCGTGCTCCGTAAGGTGTCTATACTTCTATCAGCTCGACTCTGCAACTATCATACGTTGTATTTTATAACATCTCCAATACCGGAGTTCGAAGGCACACATGAGCTAACAGCCATAAGCCTTATAAAAACAAAGCTAAAAGGCCAAGTGAAAATTTTAATAAGTAATGAGCAGACAATTGCAATCATCACGCAAGTATCAAATGCAGTAAAAGGAGAACTGGTAGAAGTTGTATCTGCTAAGCTTCTAAATCTGCAACAGAAAAAGAAAAAGGCTAACCAATACATCCAAAAGGTGGAAAAACTGCAAGGGCCCTTGAAAGCGCCTATATCAGTGAAGGTCTAAGCTAATCAGTTGCAAACAAGCACAGCACTACAATTAAACAATTATTCAATTGATAAGGTAAAACTTATAATGCATGCAGGCACATTCACAAATATGAATGATGAAGTCTCCAAATTTGTCAATAGCTGCACGGAGATAACACGTCTTAGTAACACTGTCTTGTATTATCGACGAGGTGCAAACAACAATAATAGAGGAGGCCGAGGTTATAATCGTGTCAGAAATTACAACCACAACAATTACAACCGCGGCGGTAACAACAACAATATAATTACAATAACCTTGGAGGAAGACGATGCCAAAATCGAGGAAGAGGCCGAGGTAATTTTAACCAAGGTAATAATAATAATTATGTGAGAGTGGCGCAAAATGCGTCGGAAAACTCTCAGGTCCCCTTTTCACAGTCTATATATATTTCTCACACTTTATAATCATTCAACCGAAAATAAACTCGCGTTCCTAATAGATACCATTTTAGACCATATATTTGTGGTAAACATATTACGATTATAACGGATCACAGACCATTGACATATCTTCTTTCTATGACTACTCCCAGTTCGAAATGAACATGAACGCATGCGGCTAGAGCTTGAAGAATACGACTTCACAGTAGAATATCTAAAGGGGAAAGATAATTTCGTAGCAGATGCACTTTCGGGTATTAATATAAAAGAACTCAAAGATAAGCAACATAAAGTCCTGAAAGTCAGTACCAGGCGACAAAGTAGACAAAATAATAACTTTACAGTGCAAAATTATGAAGCCAGTCATAAAAATGTATCTAAGCCCAAAGTACATGAAGTCATTACAAATGATGAAGTATGAAAGTAGTGACCTTGTGCATAATAGAATCTAAATGTTTATTTAAACATAGAAATAAAATTATCGCAAAAATTGAAGTTAGCGATTTATATACTAATGGAATCTTCAACTTAGGTCAAAAGGCTTGAAACACAAGCCGGTATATTAAAAATCAGCCAACTTACCATGACAACCCAATTCAAGGAGGTCATAGTGGAATAACAAGAACGCTAGCGAAAATAAAAACACGCTACTACGGGAAAAATATGACAAGTCACTTAAAAGAGTGCGTACGTAGATGCCAAAAATGTCTTAAGCAAAGACGCACACAAAACTTCTTTGACTCTCACAGAAACACCTGTGAATGCTTTCGATATAGTGATAGTGGATTCAGTTGGTCCGATATAGAAATATGGTAATGAATACATAGTTACATTAATATTTGAACGTACAAAATATTATGTAGCCATTCCAATAAAAAGCAAAACCTAAAATAATGTCGCAAAAGCTATATTCGATAATTTCATACTGAAGTATACAAACCAGATTTTACCTGATTTATGCAGGTATTTGAAGATCAAGAATCTCACCTTTACTGCTTATCATCATCAAACATTAGGGAGAATAGAACGGAATCATTGAACATTTAATGAATACATTCGTTCATACATCTCTGCAGACTAAACTGACTGAAATGTCTGCATTCAATATATCACTTTTAGCTTCAACACGACACCATCAGCAACGCATGAGTATTGTCCATACGAACTAGTATTTGGCAGACTACCAAAACAGTTCATAGATTTATATAAAACTAATTACATATATCCTATTTATAATATTTTAAATAAAATTTATATTGCATTTTGCGTTATCGGCAACACCGAGGGTTTACTTAGTTGGTTGCGTGCGATATTATCGGCCACTCCGATATCTTTTTGTCATATGGTCAGAGTATGCAGGGTGAAGCTGGGCCCACGGCGGAGCCCAAATTTTTAAAGGGTGTCAACGCAAGACTTGCGATTCACGGCGCCAAAAGCGACGATTGCTATTGGCCGCACGGTTCGCTCTTAAAGAGAATATGAGGAGAGTGGATCGCATGCCCTTGGATATGCCCTTGCCCGTCATTTGGGCCATTGACGCAAAAATATGCAGCTGTGCAGATGGGCAGCAACGGTGCCCGCCTCGCCAATATATGCGTGTGCCGGCACCGAAGATGTTGCTGCCCAAATATACGGGGAGTTCGTCTTTGTCAGCGGTCCACAGCGGACGTAACGGCTCGCAGTTAAAAATTTTCGAAGTTGGATATTGTTTTTTGCCGGCCACGGAGCATGTGGCCAAGATAATTCCTATATTGCACAAAAGCGATAATACAGAAACAATAATACACCAGAAACACACTGTCGTCACTTAAAACCACTATAAAAGCGATACTCTATTAGAGCAGCCGCAGCCATTCGGTGGCACACCACGCTTGAGTCCCGCGCAGGAGGACGCTGGCCAGATCAACACAGGTATTCACGGGCCGGATTTTCAAAGCGCGGCCAAGTGTCGGCGTATACCACACGACGGAGATCCATCACGGACGGAACTCATACGACGAAGAGGCTGCCACGGGCGGGACCACGCCCATATCATCCGAGTGAGTTTGGTCCATTTCGTGCCTCCTCGCCTGAGTAAACGGCAGAGTCAGACGCAGACTTCCCATTGTGCTCCCTGAAAGAGAGACGATTTTTTTTTGTTATTAAATACATAAAAATACTCACGACTAGTTTAAATTAAGTAAATTTCCGAAAATGCGAACCGGGAAGGAAAGGGCCCAAATATTATTGCGTATGCTAAGTAAAGAATGAAGTTAAAAAGTTTAGAATTTGGTCAACTTATGCACGAGTGATACCCACTTATACGTATATATATATATATATATATGTTACGCATCTCAGGTTAAGGTGTCCCCCACCCAGAGAGCTCTTTAGGCAGGCAAGGTAATATAAGCTCTTTGGCAAACAACGCCTTTTGTTGTAAACACAAAGTTATACACGCATTTATTTTAGCGGATACTTGCTCCCCATCGGTGCAATAATTAACTGTGTTTATATTTCTCCCCTTGTTTTCCTGTCCTTTGTTGACTGGCAATAACTTCTGGCCGTTTTTTTTTTTGGTCTCCGGTATTGTATGAAGGTCGCCAACGAAAAAAGGGTATTCTGCAAACAAAAAAGTTGAAAGATGGAAAAAAAATGAAATTTAAAACTTATATCCATTATTCTAAATATAAGAATAGACAAACTTATCGTATGCACCTGCTTTAAAATGCCGGAAATGTTCGCGAGTACGAAATTATAAATAACAGCTTGAAGATAACCTGCAGGGGAATAAGAAATAAGATTAAATGTTAATAACGATAAGAAGTGAAACCAATTATGTGCCGTATCTGAAGAGAGAAATGTCCGGCCATCTGCCGGCCATCAAATGGCAAAATGTGGGAGACGAGTAGGTGATCGTCTCATGGTTGGGCGGTTACGCTGGGTCCGGAACCGGGGCCCGATCTGGAAGAGTAAGGTGGATAAAGACTGTTTTTTGTTAATTCATATTGAGTGTCTCACCTTTGTTGTTTACATGTTTATAGTTGTTACAGCTGTTTATTTTGTTCATGAGTTAGAACTTCCGATTGTTTGACGTTATCGATTTGTGGTTCGCTTTGCATAGTGTTGTGTAAGTCTGCTTCGCTACAGACGTGTAGCTTCGCTGTTATCGATTGTGCGGACTGCGGGCCAGGGATGGGACTACACCCAGAGAAACCGATGAGCCAGCCGGCGCGGCCCACCGAGAAATAAGCAGTTCCGTAACAATATAGCGACTAATTTGAAGAAGCACTCGGCTTCTTTGAAGTCGGTGCGTAATCAAAGAAAAATAAATACGATATAAATGAAGGATACACAGAAAAGGATTCCTTTGGCTTCAGGACCCACACCGCTGAAGTTTTATGTGGCACGAGTAGGTAGCTCATAATCGCGCAGCGTGTAGTGGAATCCGAGAAGCACGACGGAAGTCGAGAATATCCATAAACATGAGAAGTTTTCTTGTAGTGGTTGATGCCGGTACGTCACGTTCGCATGTTGGCGAAACGTTCGCGACCGTTTATCGTAGCCCTGTGGTAGCCGCCACCACAAAATAACTTGTGATTGAATGTGATATTAGGGTAGGTCTTAGAGTTTGTTTTATGTTTGTGCTGTCCTGGCCGTAGTTAAATGAGCTTCGGATACAGGTGCCCAAGGACGATGAAAAGCCAATCCTGCGCCGCACCTGTCACACTGGATACCCTAAGGGTACCCAGAAGTGCGACAGAAACTAAATAGCCTTCAAGGTAGCGTTCCTTGAATGCCGTTCGTCAGTCAAACTGACGAACTGAGCATTTGAAGAATGCTTAAGTGTTGTCTACTGTCCAGATTATGCGTAGATTAGTAAGCCTGTGTTAGGATTTGTCTTCTCTCCCCCAAGTATTTAAAAATAATAAGAAAGAAACAAATTTATTTTTGTGAGTGTTTTTGTGGTCGATGTGTTTTAATTTATTATTCTTTTTAAGTAAGATGTGTTAGTGGGTGTTTATTTATTAATTTATAAGGAATATTGGTAAATTTTTTTTTTATATAAGGGTAGAAAACCTTGTAGAAGAGAGGGGTACAGAAGGGATAAGTATGGCTGAGGAACAGGTGTCTGATTGGGCTTCTGACGCTGATGGGGCGTCGGCTCTGCCACCGCCGCGCCCGGCTGGGGGCTGGTGCGAACGCCAATGAATTTCCGGGGATTTCCAGAGAGACGGATCCCGGAAGAGGGTCACCGGTAGACTTGGAGAAAGAATTGGCGCAACAGGATAAACCTTCACGGAACCTGGAGTTCGCAAAAGCCCCGAAAGACTCACTGCTCAAATCGGCAGCAAACGCGGCGATCGCTTAGGCCCACCAAACGTATCGGCATGGTCTGCCATCTGACATTAGCCAGTCCATCCGCGAGGAGATGCGAGCTGGCTTGCTGGAAATGATGAAGGGAATCATTGATGTTATATGAGGAGAGTCGATCGCATGCCCTTGGCCGTCATTTGGGCCATTGACCCAAAAAAATGCAGCTGTGCAGATGGGCAGCAACGGTGCCCGCCTGACCAATGTATGCGTGTGCCGAAATTCGACACCGATGATGTTGCTGCCCAAATGTACGGGGAGTTCGACTTTGTCAGCGGTCCACAGCGGACGTACCGGCTCGCAGTTAAAAATGTTTGAAGTTGGATATTTTTTTTGGCCGGCCACGGAGCATGTGCTTAACCAAAAAAAAAAAAAGAAGCAAAAAGTCAAAGGGCATAAATTTATTCATGACGGGCTTTCTTTATTATTTACTTGCCAAGATAATTCCTTATGTGCTAAAGTATTGCAAAAGAAATAATGCCCAGGTGCGATAATACACGAAACAATAATACACCAGAAACACACTGTCGTCACTTAAAACCACTATAAAAGCGATACTCTATTAGAGCAGACGCAGCCAGTCGGTGGCACAGCACGCTTGAATCCCGCGCAGGAGGTCGCTGGCCAGATCAACACAGGTATTCACGGGCCGGATTTTCAAAGCGCGGCCAAGGGTCGGCGTATACCACACGACGGAGAGACGAGCCATCACGGACGGAACTCATACGACGAGGAGGCGGCCACAGGCAGGACCACGCCCATATCATCCGAGTGAGTCTGGTCCATTTCGTGCCTCCTCGCCTGGGTAAACGGCAGAGTCAGAAGCAGACTTCCCATTGTGCTCCCTGAAAGATAACCGATTTTTTTTTGTTATAAAATACATCAAAATACATACGACTAGTTTAAATTAAGTAAATTTCCGAAAGGGCGAACCGGGAACGAAAGGGCCCAAAGATTATTGCGTATGCCAAGTAAAGAATGAAGTAAAAAAGTTTAGATTTTGGTCAACTTATGCACGAGTGATACCCACTTATACGTATATATATATATATAATTAAGTTTTACGCGTTAGGTTACTATAAAAAAATATATTTCAATTTATTATTTTCACTTAACGGTTACTTTTGTTGAGTACATTCAGATTTGCTTCCCGAATATGAACTGATTTATCTAACTGTTGCGGTCGCTTAGCAAACTTCGCTTTGAGAGAGTTTGAGTCAAAATTGAGTGAAGTTTGAGCTGCGTCAGCAATTATGCGTGGGATAGTGCTCTGATGGGAACATTGACAGTGGCGTGATATTTAGGGTGAATTGTTTATGTCTACCAAAGGGGGACAGTTTGATCTTGACCAATGTCGATGTTATCACCAGGCTCTTTGTTTACAATATTAGAAATTTTTATACTTGGGCTTATGCTTATGTCCTAAGTTATGTTAAAGGGTGGGTGCGACTATGGATATGTCACTCCCCCAACCATTAGAAAAGTGCCTGTCCTCAGGTGTTTAAGTTTGGACATAGTGTAACATTTTCTTCTTTTACAATTGGTGTATTTCCTATTATTGAAGGTGTTTCTTCTACTTTGGGTTTTTTATATTTTATAATTAATTTCTTAGGTATGCTTTTGAACTTATATGTCAAATACAGTGTTCAACTTATTAATATGATTACAAATATGGTTATTGTAATTATCTGGAATACATTGTTAAATTTTGTATGTTCATTTATAATTTGTTTCGTTTGTACAAACGAAAGTGGTTCCAATTTTATAACATCATTGCTTACGTAAATGCTTTGAGTATAATCTAACATATTGTTTGAAATTGAAATTTCATTAATTTGCAGTGAACAATTAAAGATTTTTATTATATTGTATCCTTCTATTGTTATTTCGTTATTTATACAATTATGATTTAATATAGTTTTTGGTAAATTCCAAGTTAAAATTATATTTGGTTCTACGTAGTTGATTTGAAAATTTTGCAAAATTTTAGTATAACTACATTCTGATGTTATTTGGTTTAAAATTCCTGTTAAACATTCATTTTTAATTAATTTTTTTGTTTCTTTGCTATAACCTTTTTTGTCTTGGGTAAAATATTTTTCATGAGCTATTTCTGTCAAAATGTTATTATTATCATCCGGGTATGGAATTATTTCGAATACCGGGCTTTTTATTATTTCTCGAGGAATATAGGATATTATCAGTATTTCAAATAGTCATGTTTTTGTAATTTTGGGTTAAAAATGCCTAATCTTGTGAGCTGCATTCCCATCTCAATGTCTTCTATATATTCTGTAAAGTGTTGTAAGTTAAATATAAGGATATCTAATTTCTTTCCTTTTTGTTTCTCTTGATCTAGTTCGTTCATGATTTCTATTCCTTTGCTTATAGCTTCTATTATGTAATTAAATTCGTTAACCTGAACGCTGTTTTCTGCTAAGTTGCTTATTTTTTGTTCAATTTTATTTTGTGTTCTTGATCTAATGTTCCAAATAAGTATTTATATACTGTTTCTACTATGTTAACTAAACCTCTTTTGCTGCGTTTGGCTATTTTTAAGCCGTTTATTTCTCTGTTTAATTTTTCTGCTAGGTATTCGATTTGTATAAGGTTATTGAATTCTTTACTTTGTTCAATTAAATTGTTAAAAGTTTCTTCGGTTTTTGTTATATTAACCGTTAAACAGTGGAATGAGACAGCCGTTATGGGCTTTGATAGGATTAATTTCAATACTTTGTGCATTTATATAGTTTACAGTTATTGATAGTAATATTATAATAATTAGTTTAAGCTGGTGCTTGTATGTTTTGATCGCTGTCTGTTGTTGACCTGTAATTGTTATATTTGCTTTGATTAGTCTTCTTTTTCTTTTTGAATTTGGTTCTGTAATGTGCTATTTTCCTGCCTCTGTTAGTTTCCACAAAATGTTTGTCGTCGATTTGTCTTAGTTCTCCTGTTTTCTTGAACGGGGTTGTCGTCTTTGATTTAACTAATGGTGAGTGTTTGTATCTAGTGTCAATTTCATAATTTGTTCGTTTTTTATTGAAGTTATTTATTAGTTTTTCTTTATTAGCTTGAGTGTCATACTCTGGTGTACCTGCGTATATGAATATGTCCGCTGGTGTTCTGTTAGTCGTTTTGTGCTTTGTTTTATGATTGTACGTGTAGATTATAGTTTCAAATTTTGTAAGTTTATTTTCGACGTCTGAGTCGCTGTTAATGATTCTTAGTTTTTCGTTAACTGTCTTATGAAATCGTTCTACGTCGGATATACCATTTTTACTAGTGGTTATATTAATATTTACTGCTTCTGATTTTAGCCATAATTGTAAAGCTGTGCACATAAAAGCTGAGTCTTTGTCTGCTTTTATTTCGATGGGTTTCCCCATTTGATTGAACACTTGTAATATAGCTCGTTTGGTTTTTAACCAGTCTCTACTTTTTATTTCTATTAATGATGCAAATTTTGAATAGATATCAATGCAAGATAAAAATTGTTTATCTCCTACTTTGTAAAAATCCATTACATATTTTTCTCGGATATTAGCGATTTCCGGAGTTATTTCGAAAGTTAAATTTGTATCTCTGTGTTCTGTTTTTGCGATGTTGCAAATCTCACATTCATTTATTAGATTTTGAATTAAATTTTGATAATCTAGGAAATAGTGGGTTTCTTTTAACCAATTGA